GTTCTGAAACTAATTAGGTAACCATATTGAGCGACTTGCAACTTACTAGCGACTTTTTGTTACACCAGCTCCTCCTTTGGACATGGAAGCTGTTTCGCAAGTTTCTCGACTAAGGAGCTTACATTGAATTTTCGGTAACGATTCATCGTAAGCGGTAACACATTGATCATTAGAGCGATGTCGGCGGTTCATCTCGATTGATATCATTCGTCAAATTAAGTTCCTTGGACAGTTTACTCTCTTTGGGGGTCTTCTTCCTATTTGGTCGGCGCCTAAGTCTTAGTTGAAATTGTTTCTCAGGACTGGTGCATGGACCTAATGCAAACCATATTCCAGGATAAGCTTCCAACTTACTACTTAGTTTTTCTTTATTGTACAGATTAAATGGATATTTTTATCAGTGCAGTCTTGGATCGTCTTGGCTCGTTCGAGGATGAGCGAAGGACACGTTTCCGGATGTTGGTTTGGGATCCTCGTCCCGATATCTCAACAAGTTAGGGATAATTGACTTGTCTAGTCGCAATTGACCTATCTTCGCGGTGGAAAAGCCTTGGTGCACCTCTTATCGGCGCAAATTGTGAAGGATGCTCGTCGGGCGGTCGCCTTCGCGTGTCGTCAGGGCGGCTCGCGTGCGATTTAAGCTCCGGCGAGTAAGCGCGAGTAGGCGAGAGCGCTAGATAAGATAATGAGATAACCTTCGAAGCTTATAAGATCACCGGCCACGCGACGAAACCTTCCAAATCCCGGCGTTAGCTCGGCCTTAACGGCAAAGATCACGCCAGGTCGCGCCGGGTCTCCAGTTAGTCCGTCCTGGAATCGGATGCTTCGGTCCGCGGCCTTGTGATAACTCGAGAGGAGGCGTCAATGGCACATTGATAGCGCCACGAATTGTCAATGGACTAATATCTCCATTTCAATGTCGAAGAAAACACAAGGGTTACTCATGACCTGGTGAGGGATAAGTATTAGAACGTTGTAACGTATTATTTACGTATAAAATACGTTATTAATACGTGATAACTCGCTAGTTAATGGACTAGTGCCTTCATTTATTTTTCGAAGAGAATGCAAACACTGCTCGTTACATAGTTCGGGGAAAATATTGCAATTTTCTAACATTTTATTTATGCACTTTGTACACAACTCTTCTGGGACTTTTGCCGACTATCTGCAGCTCGTTAACGAGAGGAAAGAACGAGTTCCTAGGAGACACAGAGGATGAGAGGAAGCGAGAGCCAGAACGGGGGAGAGTGTCGCAGATAAAGACTTCGAAAGAGTTGTCGGCCCTTATCAGCAAAAACCGACATCCGCCGGATCAGCTCCCAGATACCAAAGCGCCCACACTTTCCTTCTGCGCTCTTAGGCTTACTTTACACAGGAAAAATACGGATCGTTGAAGTTTCTGGTGGAACCATGGCATTGAATACTGTCAAAATGACAACCAAGAATTCATGAGTTTCTAAACTAGTTAGGAGCTGATGAAGAAACTTTACACAGGGAAAAGAAAAAACGAATCGCTTCAGCGCCTGATGTCTTGACCAGGAATTCCTGATTTTCCAGACTTGTTGGGAGTTGACGAAGAAGCTATTACTTCAGCGAAAGCTAGATACCTAGATGATCGAGATTTGGTCATTGAAGCAAATCGGAATATGGATACTTATTGATGGTGGTCCATGGAACAATGACTATGGATGTGTCTGGTTGGGACTCATCACTTACTCTGATGGTTTCAAAGAGCTAGATACCTAGAAGATCGAGTCTTTGTACATGGAACAAGACAGAATAGAGATACTTATCGATGGTGGTCCAAGGAGCAATTGTTATCAGTGTCTAGTTGGACTCATCACCTACTCTGACGGTTTCAAAAACGACATCCGTTTCCCTGACTCGTAGCGTTCTAAATTGACACCTCTGTTGATGACCCTCTTGGATCACTGACGGTCCAAGACACGAAGAAACCCTAGAACCTTAAATCCTCTAAAGAGTCGCCTACATTCCGTCACGTTAGCTGAACGGAAGGCTCGATTTGCGAAAGAGTGTTGGTGGGAGCGGACTTGCTTTTCCTCGTCCCTCAAGCTCTGTTAACAACGATTGTGGAGAGGGGAGTCCATTATCACGCTGGGGGCTCGAGACGCCTTCCAAGGGTTGGTGAAAAATATGTTCCAACTTTTTATCCGCGATCTCTCATTCGCGTCGACGGTCCCGAGCCAGGAACTGGTGGTGCGTCACTAATTTCCTTATCGAGAAAGTCGTCGAACGCGCTTCGTTAGGGTAGAAACGAAAGATAGCTACTGTCATTTATTGAATTCACGCCCCAGGATTCTGAACTCCCACTCGAGATTTCACTGTTCGACTTATTTTAAACAATTACCCTCTGCTCTACTTGAAATTACACGAATGAAGCGCGTATAATGCATCTAGCTGATATGGATTCCCTTTTAACAAAATTATGTTCCTGGGAAAAACCTGTAATTGACATCACCAGTACCACGCATCAAGTTGCCATCTGAACTGTCCTTTTTGGGGTGTACCAAATCATTTCAAACTTTTCAACCTGAATATGAAAGCTATAAGAAAGATCCAGACTAAATTTAAATCTAAATCTGAAATCACCTTAGCTAGGACGAATTTCCATCACGTCTAACCTAGCATCAAACAGCCCCCTTGATCCCGTACCTCTTCCACTCAGGATGGCGGGGTCCAGGATATATTGGCCCGGGCTACGATATTAGGTATTAATGCCTAAACTTCAATTCAGTTTCTTAGCGCCTTTCATATCCTCTTAAGGGTCAACGTCTAACCCAAATCCTCCAATAACCAAACATGAAATTGGTCCGGGTACCCAAGGCACCCAACATCATCTTCTGTTCAGAGTATCACCTGGACCACAGCGAACCAGCACCTGCACTGTCCATCAAACGGCGTGCCAATCCGCCTCCAATCTAAATCTGAAATCACCTTAGCTAGGACGAACCTCCATCACGTCTAACCTAGCACCAAATAGCCTCCTTGATCCCGTACCTCTTCCACTCAGGATGGCAGGGTCCAGGATATATTGGCCCGGGCTACGATATTAGGTATTAATGCCTAAACTTCCATCTAATATGCCGGACTCTCCGTCCATAGTGCGCATGCGTACATAAGACGGGTCTTGCACGAGCTGACCGGTGGCTAGCTTAATCCAGGGACGTATAGTTTTCATTAAGGGCTCCTGTTCTGGGGGCGTCTTTGTGCCGAGGATCAGCTGGTCAAGGTGGGCTCTCACGGGCCAGGGTTTAGTCTGGTCGCTTCGGCCCGTTACACGGCCCGTTTATTATTGCATTAGGAGCGTCCCCGTGGCGAGGCGCGAGCGTCACCCCGGAAACTCGCCTAATCCTTCATTCTCGATCCCAAGGAGGATGCGGAATCGATCATGCTCCTTCGCGGATGTGTCCGGCAAGTGCCTTCCAGTGCAAGGGGAGTGCGGAAGCAGGGTATCTCTTTCTCTATCCAGTTGAACTTGGAGCTGATCATCTGGAATGTTGATGGGACAACCCTTGCAATTTGTTGCCACGAGCTGTGGATTTACTGTTCAGGACCTCGATGATCTTTAAGGATGAAGGTCCTTACGCTGTGGACATCGATTGGTTTTGATGATGATGGTTAGGGTCACGTCCCGTTCCGGTTTTTGTCGTTCCTTAATACAGTGACATCTAATTTCATTAAGTGCAGGGATTTAGTTGTGTGATTGGCTATTTTTTGGGAACTTTCAAGTCTTGGGCGCATATTATTCCCAACATTTAGTAATTGACGTTTATGGAAGGTTTATGATATTGCCAAAGACGTCTGCAAAATCACTGCACAAGATCGTGGATGTTGGGGCTTTTTCCGCGAGTACGCTTTTGTCGTCACCTCATCCTATTCCGAGTTGTTTCGAGAACCGATGGACCTCCGAGAGACGTTTCTCATTTCTCGTCCAATGATATCGGCCGCCAACTCCCAATCTCTTATCTAGACGACGGAAGCGTCGAGGCGCGTCTTTGACAGTTCACGTCGGCAGATAAGCAGTTCCTTCCCATCCCAGGACGTTTCACCCTACGGTTCGCCCATCTCAGTTCTTTCGCCCTTTCCTGGGCGACCGTGACCACCCTTGGCAACTTCGTCACTTGACGAGCTGAAAAAGACTTTGCCGGTCTTTCCCCCTTACGGAGATTTCAGTGATTCCAACTTCCCTAATAAATCCCATTGATCTACTTCCGAGTCACTTTCCTAAGTGTTGTACTTAGGAGAAACTTAATTCCTAATGTCCTTAAAATTGACGTAACGTATTGCGTAGATGCATGATGGATTCCTTCTAGCGCTCCGTTCGCCCATGATATCATTTAAGACGTTTCGAGGTCCATACTTTAAAGTAACCCGAATTTCCCGCGTTAATTCAGTTATTCTTGACGGAATCGACATTACACAACAAAACATTCTGCAGTCTGCATTCTTTACTCAGCTCCTCCATGTAACTGCATATGATGTAAAGTCTGACTATAAACGACAAAAGTTGGACCGTGAAGCATGAACTGGGGCTCGGTATTTGGATGTTGCATTCTACGTCTCCAGACAGTTAACACCTTGGATGATGGGTTCCTTCTAGCGCTCCATTCGTCCATGGTATCATTTAAGACGTTTCGTGGTACATGCCTAGAAGTGGCTCGAATTGCCCTTTGACGGATGAGTAGCGCATCCGATTCCGCAGTTCCCTCTCGGTTTGGGAGAAGTCTGGGATTACTGACTGGAGAGGGATAGGCTCGGGACTTAAGGCAGGGTTAAACAAGGATCGCAGCCATTGTGCTCTTCCGGAGTCCATTGTCTCGAACGGCAGAGGCGGGATAGACGAGTGGATCCGCATATACGGGGGTAAAGGGGTTACTAAGGCCGCCGGTCGTCGCTATTCGCGCAACTATCCTCTCCACGTGTGTTCTTGGTGTGCGCCTCTGTCTGACAAAACGCGACTTGGCTTCTTCTTGCAGGAAAGAGTCTCCCGGTGCACTGTGTCGTCGAGGCCATCCATAGTATCGTCGAGAGCAGAGTTTCCGGAAGCCGTGAGAACTGGAGGAGACCCCACGTGGAGACGGATTCCTACGTCATCATTCCTGCGGCGATGCCTTTTCAAGTACGTAAATCGAAGTACAACCATGAAATCAGAGCACATGGAACAGTTTATCTACCCAGAGTTCTTGTACTTCCACCCAGACCAGTAAAAAGTGAACGATCTCTTGATATGTGGTGGATTTTAATAAGTGCCCCTTTGAAGTTGCTCAGCACCTAGATCACATGTCAATCAAATCTCTACAATGGTAGTCCAATTCCATCCGCTCTTCATGTAGTGACATGGGCAAAAGTATTAATCATCTGAAACAACTCAATTTTATATCGAAATCCATGTTTTTTCAGGATTTGGTTGGAGAAGCCCTTGTCAGGTTGGGGTATCCTGCCGATTTGATACCCAGTGCCAGGGGCAGCATTGTCATCAGGAACTGGAAACCCCTACCGATGGAGAAGGTGGCCGATGGTCCACTCTTGACCGTTGGAGACATCCTTGCCGAACTGACCACCGTAGCTACCCTGAAGATTCAGGTCTACAGGTCTAGACCCCCACCTCCTAGTCCAGCAGCAGAAGTCAGGGACAAGCTGCTGAGGTTGTTGCTGTTGCACAGCCACGCGTTGCTAGTCTCCGCCGGATGTCCCCTGGATGAGGTGAGACCAGCATAATGTCATGACTCGGTACTTTGTTGTGTGGTGCCCATCATCTTTTTTTTTTTTTTAATTATCAATAGGCCTGGGTTCTTCTCTTCCATCTTCTACTGGACGGTCCTCATATTTAAAGAAGGGCATTTCCAGTATTGATGAAGCTAACGCAATGTTTCTACGTAACTGTGTTGCTGGTTTTTTACGTGCATCAGTTATATTATGCATTTTGCATTTTACATGCGATTCAGGCTTGGCGAACGGCTTGATATCCCTAGTCTAGTAACTTTGGTTTACCGCAGATTCTCATTATAATCAAAAGCGAAGACTTCAAAGAGGTTAAACACCACTGCTCTAGACAATAACGACACGAGATACAAAAGTCTTGAAAATTACCTTGTTGGGGGATGAAGCGATGTTACTAACGGATTGAGCCGCAAAGTGAGCGGGCTCGAGACCGCTTAAAAATGTATAAAATGTAAATCTAGCCAGAGAGTGTTTGTCGGCGGAGCACCTAATCTCATTAAGAAGTCCTCCGGTTGGTCCTACTCCGAGTGCGCAGTCCTCGTAATCTTCAGCAGACTCTTGCTCGCGGTTCGTTGATCCCCACCTTAAATAAATGCTCCGCAGACCTTCCGAGACTTCATTCCGAAAGCCAGGGGCCCTTTCGCAAATCGGTTCTTTCCAACGATATCGATTAGGAAACCTCAGAGAATCCCTAAGCCCAGATATTTGGTAAAAAGGTCTCTGGTGAAGTCTCAATCTTCCCAAAATCCCTTGGGATTGAAAGTAAGAAATGCTTAGATAGAGTATCAGAGTGTACAGTGAATTTTCCAATTGTTTTAATTGTTATAATTGCTTAGATATGGATAGTTTTGACCAATGTTGAAGGGAGTTCTCCAACTCGCTGCCTTAATCCAGAGTGCCGTCCAAATTTGTTGGAGTTCCCGGCTGAAGGTTAGCTTCCGCTTAGCGAGATCAGTGACTCTTTTATTCACTAATGGGTGGAAAGATCCCTCGGATGGATAAGCGAAGGGCTTCGTCCTGGTGGATATTCCTTCGCCGAGGAGCAGCTCCAGCAACATCGGACCAGAACTGCCTTCTGCCGAGAGAAGTTCCCATAACCGGAGCGTGTGATAGGATTACCCTTTACTCAACCAAATTCGCAGCCTTCATCAAAAGCCCCTTCGATATCGAGGGCCACCCGGGCAGGCATTATCTAAGTGCACCTCTTTGAAGATCCCCATCTCCGAACTTTAATGCCGCTCGCGATGCTCTATGATTACCAATTTTCCTGCCAGACGTTTCTCACCCGAACTTGGCCGACTGTGCATATGTTGCGGAATATGACCGTGCACCTACAGAGTAGAGGGATGGACCCTCCGAGACCTTCCTCGAATTCCTTCCAATAATTGTGTTCAATTGTGGTCAAGGGTCCTGGCTCCCAATTGGGGATTCCTAGAAGCCAACGGGTTCCAAACCCCTGAATTCCAATGTCCAGTCCATGAACGTGGAACACGTAGAGATCTGCGCCATGGTCACTCATCAGGTTCAGGATCAACCGATGTACACTCTTATATTGGGCAGTTTTAGCACACAACAGGCGCAAAACGTTACAGCAATCTTTTTGAGCCAGGTGACAGAACCCCATTGCACAAATCGCATCATGAGTTCATAATCCTCTTCCGATCATCATCTCCACATCCGTAGTCAGGTGTTGGGTGCATTTGACTTACTTTAACCCACTTCTCAGCAGGGTGTCTAATCCATGCTTTGAGGAGGAACTATCCAACCGATATCGTTCATCAACAACTAAGTTATTCTCCATGTTCCACCCCCAATGTTCTTCTAAGTGTTCGTCCTGGCATCAGTCAGGCTACAATTTTGCGGCGAGAATCCCAACCCATTCACCAGTATATCAGCTGAAAACCATAACCCACCAGCAGTTTAGCTGCTACCAAGTCAGTCAATCGCTACCAGAGTTTTCGGGCATGTGCCTATCCCTGACGGAAAAATCCAGTCGATGGCGCAATACGTCAGCGAAACAGCTCGCACTGGAATTAACTAATCCCAGCAGGATCTTGCTTCGAGGATCCCGAGATATGGAGCTGTTCTCACCTTTCAGGAACGCCCCAGTTAAGTCGCAAAGACAGGGAAGTGATTTACAAGTGGCGAAAAGACGTCGCCACCGGCCTCGGTGTCGCCGCAGGGATGACGATGAGTGCGCATTCCGGAATAAATAAGTGTAAATCAGGCTCAAGCCGCGTCAAGCGTCAGATAAACCTTCTCGGAGAGGCTCTTGGTGTCGGACTGGTGTTTGCCCAATGATTTCTGAAATCTGAGGCGCGTTGCCGTTGCCGAGCGCCGATTAATTGCGAGGTCGCAGCGAGGAGGTTGTAGGAGCGAGGATTTCTCGCTACCGAGACCGATCCGAGGAGATTACCTCGTTAGGTGGTGTCGTCCCTGATCCCACGTCTGTTTGCTTTCTTATAAATCACGCCGATAAGGCACACTTGCGAGCTCATAGTTCATCGCTCACCTCTTACAAAATGGCGCAAGGTGCGTGGCAGGAGCAATCTACGACTATGGAATCGGGGACGAAGGCCCAAAGTGTATAATCCCCATTGTTGGTGGAATCACTTGGTCTTAATTTAGTGCTCACATCATCTGGAAACAGCATTTAGTGGTAATTGCGTCGGTGTCATTGTAACGTTGTGTAGTGATGGATTTTTACATGATATTCGACGTCGGTAGATTAGAATCGTGGAAGTTGAGTTGCCGCCTGGTTGCACATAAAGCGGCTCCGAAGTAGATTCATTCATTAGAACTTCCTATTAATATCCATTCTACCGCTGAACGCTGAACTTCATATTCATTCATTCTAAATGTTGAACCATTGTTTCCAGATGACTCTGTCGTCCCTGTGTAGAGGAGGGAACGATCTGTCCGAGGAGACCCGGAGGAATTTTGAGAGTTGGTTGCAGCAACAACAGCTGGGCTTGGGCATGAGTCCTATGATGCCGACGTCCAACCACCATCGCGTGCAAAGTCCTCAACCAGAAGGTGGTCCCCCAATGGGAGCTGGGGCACCGATCGGTCCACCACATCCAGCTCTGCTCCCATATTCCCATAAAACAAGGATGAGGACCAGCTTCGACCCGGAGCTGGAGCTTCCTAGGCTGCAGAGATGGTTCGGCGAGAACCAACATCCAACCAGGCAACAGATCCAACATTACGTGACCGAGTTGAACTCTTTGGAGTCTCGGAGGGGCAGGAAGCCTCTAGACGTGAACAACGTTGTCTATTGGTTCAAGAACGCGAGGGCAGCTCTAAAAAGAGCTGAAACTCGCGGCGTCAATGGCTACAGTCCTCCTGGTCTTAGTCCAAGAAACGCTAGCCTCGTCAGCGAAGACTGCAGCGACGAGGAGGAGGACTCCAGGCATCAGGTACGGTCAGCAGTTCTGTAAAAACTCAACGAAGTCATCAGCACTTTTCTATGGGCACGTCGGTAGGGTACAAAGCGAACTTACCTTCTTCTCTGCAGACCTCGATTTCTCCGTCGCCCTGTCCGCCTGGGAGTCCATCGGTGGGTCCATTGTCTCTGACGACGCGTCCTGAGGACCAACAGCAGCAGCAACATCAGCAGCATCAGCAGCACCAGCAGCAACCTCCTTCTTCCACTTCGTCGTCGGTTAAACAGGAAGATGGCCGCGTGTCCTCTGGCTCCGATGAAGACGAGGCCAGTCCCACCGGACCTTTACCTCCGGGGTTTTCGTTGGTACCCAGCCCCATGTTCAGTCACAGTATTATGTACATGTCCCATTACTTGCCACCCCGTGGACCGGCGACCTGTTCCGCCAGCATGCTCGACGAAAGGCGGAAGAGGAATCGGACCTTCATCGACCCCGTGACGGAAGTGCCGAGGTTGGAAGCTTGGTTCACCCACAATACTCATCCCAGTCACACGGTATGCTTCTCTCTACTACTGAAAAAAAAGGTTCTTTTTTCTTCTAGGAAATTGTTTCTTTGAATGGAGTTTAAGAAATGCAGCATAAAATCAAAGAAATATCGCCTTCGCTACGGAAATGCCGAATGTTTCATTGTTCGATGCATCGCATTGATCGAATATTTCATGTCTTGTATGTTCATCCCCTCATGATCACGTGCTCTTTCTGTTATTTCATCAAAATGAGGATTGTTTAAAGAAATCAATTTCTTGGAATCGAAGAAATTGATCTCACCGTAACGATACAATGTATTATTTGTTACAGTTGATCCTGAAGTACACGGAGGAGCTAAACCGCATGCCATACCGGCAGAAGTTCCCCCGATTGGAGCCAAAAAATGTGCAATTTTGGTTCAAAAATCGCAGGGCCAAGTGCAAGCGCCTCAAGATGGCGCTCTTCGAGGGCGAATCGCCCCAGCCTCATCCTTATCACGCCGACTAGATAACCGCTAGTCCAATTTCGGGAATCCCGTGCACCGTGACAGTACAACCGTCGCCATCTTGAAATGCACGGAGAAGAAGTCGCCAGGAAATAACCCCAGAAAAGGAATGATCAAGGGCACCCAAAATGCCCAACAGAGTGATAAACATTTCTCCCATTAATCCGGTAATTTGGTTCAGCCAAAAGAGTTACTTATTCGATAAAAGAGACAAGTAAATGCAATTAATGTTAGTTTAAATCCTCGATTTGAGGAAGTGGCTTCCTTTTTTGGGATGGTATTTCCCGAAGACTCTCCTGACGTGCATTTAGAGGTGAAGTAGTCGTGCTCGGACTTTAGATCACCGATGCCGGGGAAATTCGGTGATCGGCTATTTCGCTCGTAAGTTCATTGATTAATCGACATCCAAATATCGGTTGCTCTACTCATTTTGACAATGCGTGTAAATACGAAACGTTATATCGAATAAACTGTACTCCTCGCCAGGAAAGGGTGGAGAGGCGTTACTTCTTGTGATCCACATTCCCTGATGTGTAAAATCATTTCCTTTGACAATTGTTCAGCCCCTTAGACCTCTTTATTCCATGAACATGTTCGAGCTTTCTTATGTCTTTGACAAGCAACGAGCATCAGGTATGTACTCTCAAACATTTTCAATTATCTTAGGCATTCAACCGGGGGGCTATTCACTTGAAAACTAGATAAAATGATTTCATTTGAGAGCCGATTGCCTTTGATTTCATATGATAAACAAAAATGCAATTCGGTAGAATGATGTTCGGCCTCTTCAATTATCAGAACATTTTCAATTATCTTAGGTATTCAACCGAGGGGCTATTCACTCGGAAATCAGATAAAATGATTTCATTTGAGAGCCGATTGCCTTTGATTTCATATGATAAACAAAAATGCAATTCAGTAGAGTGATGTTTGGTCTTAAAATTGTGACAATTATGAAATGATTTCTCCTCGCGATTCCCGCGTGATTTAGAGACTTAAAATTCATGATTTAACGAGTGAATAACCCGAGGCGCTGTTTATTCGAACATTAGTGGAAATGATTTCTTTTCTTCAAAACCGATTGACTTCAATTTCATATGATAAACAAAAATGCGATTCAGTAAGCAAGTGACGTTCGGTCTTACAATTATGTTAGTGATGGTGATTTTCAACGATTTCTAGTGATTTCTGCTTGCGTTTTCCAGCTGATTCTTGCGTGTCTTTCTAAAATTCATGATTTCATGAATGAAAAACATCTCGAATTGAAGAATGTCTCATATGTTTCGACAGAAAAGGAAAAGCTGCCGATGGTGGGAGATTCATATTTGCAATTCCAAGTAACTGGTTGTCTAGGGGAAATTTATAGACAGGCAATGATATCTGACGTCAACGAAGTTTAGTATATCGATATGATGTTGGGTAGAACCCTTATCGCAAAATGGCGGAGTTCTCTAGGCTTGTTAGGCTCTTCCGGCCCCGAAATCTCTCGTCGAGATAAGACCACAGGGTGGCTGTCATCGAGTCAACCCTAACTCAAGCTTGACAATAGTCAATGCATCATTGTCTAGAAGCTAGGTCTCTCGGAGACGATCGGATGTATTCTGCAACCTCCAGATCTGTGGATCTGTTCGATAGGTCCCACTTCCGGTTCCCGGCAATCCGAGACAGTCCAGAAATCCTATTCTTCTTCGAATATCAAATATTGATAAGCAGGAATTCTGTCACTATGGAGATATTAAATATATCTAGAGAAATTCCGAAACTTGTACATCTATTAAAGCTTGTCAGAAAACGACAGAACTTTCGAAATGACTTAATAATCGGATCTTGGAACTCGATTAAGTTTGTTAAAGAGGATAACAGCAAGTCTGATATTTAACAATCTAAATGTTGCACCGAGATGAATTACCTAACATTCTGTGAGGTTAGGGAAAGAGACTGGACAGCTTCCGGGGGGTGTTTTAATAACCGAAAATTTGGACGCCTATTGACTGGAATATTCTATAAAGTTCAGTTGAATTTCATAAACTGATACTTTTCACACTTTGATGGCACCGGAAGAATAAATTGGACATCGCGGAACATACTGACGATTCCTTATATTCCACTTTCAAGAAACGCAGATAATGACTAGGTCAGTGTTTCGCGCCTCTATATACACATTTGGCGCGAAACTCTACCGAGTTTCTTAATTCGGTAACGTCGTACGTCGACGTTTTAAAGTTTGAAACAATGACACCCTTTGGAGAAAAGTTTCACGAACGATTGATTCCTCAGATGCCGTTTTCATATACCCTTAAGTCAATCGCGGCCACCCTTAAAGATTAAGATGTGCCCCACCACAGTGTCCATCTTCCCATGACAATGTCCATCTATTATAATAGTTTCATTTCTCGTTTCTCCGCGGTTTGCTATCTAATTTCTTCAGCTCCTTCTCTTCCACGACCGATTGATTCCTCGGATGCCATTTTCATATCCCCTTAAGTCAATCGCGGCAACCCTTAAAGATTAAAATGTGCCCCACCAAAATGTCCATCTACCATGATAGTTTCATTTCTCGTTTCTCCGCGGTTTGCTATCTAATTTCTTCAGCTCCTTCTCTTCCAACGTACCCTTAGCAACGACTTTTGAGGGCTGAAGAGAAAAGGAGGAAAGCTTTCCGTAGGTTCCTTCAGGGAGGAAAGTCCGGGCTTGTAACGACGAGGAGAACTCAGGGGTAAGAGTTTGGAAGGGTGGATACGATACGATGACAAGAAGATTAGAGCGAGAGCCTCGATCGAGAGCCACGGTAGAGAGAGGGAAGCCAAGAGTTATGGGGGGAGATAGATCCGAGATTTTCAATTCCGCACAAGTAGGAATATAACACAAAGATGAGAGGATATCGCCATTTATGAGGTATACACTCGCACACCGCCAGAGGACCCGGACGGAGGCTCTGGATTTAATGAGGATAGGCGGATTTGTCCAATTAAAACGTCTTACAAGGATCCAACCGACGGTCCGCTCATCCGCAAAACATCGAATCCAACTTTGCTTAATGCTCCACGCCGCAGAACAGGACGATTCCGCCCTCAAAACGCATCCTTAAACCAGGGTCCTTAGGCCTAACACAGGAGTCGTCGAGCTAGCCTAGACAGTAGCTTCCATTCCAGCTCTAAACGTAGTTATCTTTCAAGAGGGAGTCTTTCAAGATGGGGGACCATCCTTGCAGAAGAAATAAGGACTCATTAAAAATGACTTCAGTGTCTGCGAAGATCTTCCTCGTCTCTGCTCTCCATTTCTCAGCGAGGAGTTAGAAGGGACCAATGAGCAGGGAACTGCGGATGTAGTTTGATTACCATTCAATTGTGCGATGACTATTACCCAAAAGTATAATTTGGTGGAATTGGAAGGTACTCCTTTTGGAGTCTGATGGGTTTCTAGGAACAATTATCGATAGAATGGCTCAAAGAAGCGGTCGATCGTCACATGCTTCATCAGGCATCAGCAGCTACTTTCTATCCCTTCATTCGTCATCTGGAATCTCAATGTACAGGTTTGAGAATCCTGCAATAAATCCTTTGGAGAGAGGAGAGAGGTCCGTACCTTCCAGGATGAAGGGCCATCCGTAAGTTTAATCGAGGTTCGCAAAAGGGAGCTCGTATAAAAATTACATACTCAGCAGACCCGGGGATGATCCCTCTATCTGATCTTAATTTGTCGCTCGGGATCGTAAAGAGGACGTCTTCGCAGGCGAAATCGCGAGATCGCGGAATCGCGGATTCCGCGTTGCGGAATTTACGGAACCACCCTGCCCGCTAGTCGCCGTTTCAAAGGAAACCATTGTGTGTTTCGGCATTCATAGGACGTCCTTATCTGTCCATCCGGAGAGCTGTCAGGAAAGTTCCTGAATGCCTAGGCGAGAGACGCGGAGAAATTACCTCTTTCTCCCTCCTCTCAATGGCTAGGATGTAACTACTGTTCTGTAGCTACCGCACGACGTCCCGAGATACGTAATGCTCGTTCAGCTACGCCGCAGAATCGCTCGGAAATCAGCTGACTGATAAACGACAAGATGCACCACATCAGGATCTGTCTTTGAAAGGAGCTGCTGGTTAACAAAAGATTCTACGAAATGTAAGGGAAATGGAGTAAAATGAAATGCCTCAAGTTACCCAACAAAGATGGTAAAACACAATGTGTTGATACTGATATGGGCCCTACACAACAAACCACCCAAACATATGGGTTCCTATGGTCCTTGTCATGCCTCTTCAGAATCCTCTTTCTGCTTCTTCTTCAACTATTTCGTTGTTAACATGCTAGTAAGGTTACTCAAACTGAATTACATGACACAATGTACCGATGTCGCTATGAACACCACACAAAATGAATGACGTCGAGGTCAATAAAATCCTCTTTCAGCACCTATTTTGAATATTCTCCGTGTTCAGTCGATAGTCCACTTGGAAATACGTCTGCAGGTTTAAAATTTAATTGATATTCTCTTCTTGAAGTGTCCTGATAGGCTTTTTCTTTGAACATTAGTGCTGATGCCTCATAGCTCAATGTCGCGGTCGACGATTTTCCTACATGGTTTGCTCTCGAGGAGGGTTTTTGGACGCTTCATCCTGAGCTTCCGATCTCAATTCCTGCGGAAGAGAAGAGAGTGAATCTTGGGAAGAGGGCCGGTGGTCCGAGTCCTCGCAAATTAGACGCAGGATCGGGCTCATAATCCTCGAGGGATGTCGGCCGGGGGTGGTAGATGAGGTCGTATAAACGGCCGCCCTTCGAGCAATGCTCCCTCCTTATTCTTTAATCCCACCCCGCGGGCTGTGGGATACTAAAAATGACAAGCCGGGGCCGAAAGCCGCTAAGACCGTCGTCGGACGATTGAAAGTAACGGTCCTCCAGGTCGACCTAATCGATCTGATTAGCCCCCGTAAGTGGCAGCGTGCAGGAAATGTTAACGTGGATATTACCACCACGAGGCAGGAAGATACTCCTCAGCTTATCGCATTACAAACGTAATTGTTCACCCAGGTCTTCTCGTAAACAAGGTAAATTATCGATGCAGCACTTACACAACATCCAAGAGGAACATTTCACCATCAGAATACAATCCACAAAGCAGAATACGTTGCCAAAAGACTGATCTCCTTGGTACTTCATTCCAAATCCAAGGAAACTAAAAAAATAAACACGGCTTGGTCGAGTTGAGGATGAAAATGTCGTCAAACCTCATCTGTGGCGAGAAAGCAGTTCCAAATTTAGGATCCCTCCTCATTTTTAGGGTACGCAAAGTTGGATACTTTTATTCAGCTAGATCGAAGTACGGCTACCGTATCTAGGGCGATTGAAAGTAATGAGGATCATGATCGATCCAATCGATACAACCAGCTGATCTCAGTGTCTCGTGCATACAGAGGAACATCGTTGGTGTCGATCAGTGTCGTCGTTATCGTCTTAGTAAATACAATTAGTGCCGTTGAAAAGGCCCCATCATCATCT